TCAACACCTGCACTTCAGTGGGCGGTGTTTGTCCTCACGGACGCGTGGACTAGGTTCCTGCTGCATAATAGTCAAAAGCAGTACTGGGCCCCACGTGAACTGCGAACCTCAGGGTCTTCTCGGGCGCCGTAGCGTAAGCTAGTGTAGTACGGCCATTTTTAGTACGCGCACCTCCCCGTCCTTCCCCCATCCAACGTGGCTGCCTGCCAAGGCCAGATCCACGCATTCGACTCCCAGGACCTCATCGACGTCTACATCCCAGACAGCCCTGAGACTATCCTCTACCGTTGCGAGCAGCAACCGTGCCCAAATCGGACACCCCGATCGATCGAGGAGGATTACCCTCGCTACAAAGCGATCCGACGAGCGCAACACCCGCTCGGACCCCGAAGCACCCTCGCATCTCGATCTGCCTCGCGGCACTCTCGCCCTGTCTCCCCTACCTCCCGCCTTCCCCAAACTGTCGCCGAGTCCAGTCAAGCTCGAGGAGATCTCCCTCCAGACCCTGCGCCAGAGCCAGAGCCTGAGGAGGGTGCAGGTGAAGAAGGAGTCTCGGAGTCCGAGTCCGAGGATTCTGCTGGGTCCACCTCGCCGACAGCGCTCGCCCCCACGTCAGCAGTCCCTGACGTACGTAACCCCCCCGCCGAACTTCCTTCGGCGCCTTCACCGCCGACTCCGCCGAGAGGCCGCTCGAGCACTCGCTCCTCTCGAAGTTCGGCCAGCGGAAGGCCACCACAGCCGCCTCCGCCCCCGCAGCGTCCTCCGTCCCCCCCGACGTCGATAATGTCGTCCCCCGCAGCCGCCCTCGACAAGGAGACGTTGAAACTCCTCCTCCCCCTCCGATACGATGGCAAAACCGTCATCGACTGCGACAGGTTCTTGTCGCAGCTACGCATCTACTGGATGGTCAACACGTCGTTGACCACCATCGAGCTCAAAGTCCAGGTTGCGCTAAGCCTGCTCGACGGTGATGCCCGCGCTTGGGCCACCCCCTACTTCGCCCAGCTCGTATCAGTGCAGATAGGGGTGCAAGGGGCTACGACCCCGTTCGCAAACGAAGCAGCCTTTGCCGCCGCCTTCAAGGCCCGCTTCGGAAATCTTGACGACGAGGCGGCAGCACAAGTAGAGCTGGCGAAGCTCTGCGCGGACAAGTCGGTCTGTGAAAAACGCACCGCTGCGGAATTTTCCGCGCTGTTCAAGGGTCCGGCGGACCGCTCTGGGTATGGGGACCTGGAGCTACGCGACAAGTACCTGAGTGGCATCCCCTCCCGCGTCTACCGCAAGATCGAGCTCGAGACCTTCACCACGTGGCAAGACGCTGACAAGCGCGCCAATGAGGTCGAGCAGATCCTCGACATCAGCCGGGCCCGTCGGCCCGAGCTAAATAACTTCTTCTCGGCCCGAGGTCGAGGACGCGGTGGGGCACGTGGTGGTGCACCCTCGACGCATGCAGCTTCGGCCAGCATCAATGCGGCCGTCGGAAAAGGCAACTTCCCCGGCACCTGCTTCGGCTGTGGGAAGCAAGGGTACCGACGCTTCGAGTGCCCCAATTGTAAGGACAAGCCTTACACAAAACGCGCCGACGCGCGGGCTACGGTTGCCTCGGGTTCCACCCAGGCGGTGACAAGCGCCCCCGTCGCTTCATCCTCGGCGAGTATAAGCACCGCTTCAGCGAAATCGGAGAGTTCCGAGCTGGCGGACTTAATAGCACAGATGAAGTCGATGCGCGAGGAGTTGGAGCACTATCGAGCGCTCAAAGAAGAGTCTTTTTGATCCGGTCCGCGCTTCGTGCCGCACGCGTCGGGCCGCGTAATAATAATCTGTACAATGTATTGGCAACTGCGAATGTGTACGAATTGGACCACGGGTCCCAGCATTTCCACATCCCGGTGCGCCTCAAAGGAGAAAGACGGCACAAGGACATAATTGCAATGGTGGACAGCGGAGCCACTACGAAGTTCATCAACAAGTGTTTCATTACGGAGAATCGAGTACGAACGCGGAAATTGAAAGAACCAATCCCGCTTTACAATATCGATGGAACGCTCAATAAAGACGGAAGCATCTCGGAGGTAGCCGTACTACAGATGCAGATAGGAGATCACGTCGAGAAGACGGTATTTACGGTCACGGACATAGGTCCAGAGGATGTGATCGTTGGGTTGGATTGGTTACGAGAGCACAACCCTGAGATTGACTGGGAGTCAGGCTCCCTAAAGTTATCACGATGCCCTGAGACGTGCAGCGCCAGGAAGACTGGCCGAATGGAGCAAACAGCGACTGCGCGTGATACGGGGGACAGGCCCACGGCGCGCAGGTGTTCGCCGAAGTCCAAACGGTCGGTCATAGGTGCCTGCCGGAGTAAGGTACTCCCGGACTTCGAACCCGAAGAAGATCCGGCAGAAGAAGAGTGGGATGAGGCCGATTTGATCGAAGCCTGGGAGCAAGGCATCACGCTTCCCGGTGCTCCTCAGCTATTCGTCGCAGCGGGGCATACGTACTCCCAGCTGTTTGCTGAGGAGGAGATCAGAAAGAAAGTCGTTAAGACCGCCGAGGAGTCGGTACCTAAACAGTACCACGAGTTCCTGAATGTTTTCTCCAAGGAAGCATCAGAGCGGCTACCCGAAAGGAAGCCTTACGATCACGCGATCGAACTCGTGCCCGGCTACTCGACGTTCCACTCGAAAGTGTACCCCCTGTCGAACAATGAACAGGAGGAACTTGACAAGTTCCTGAAGGAGCAGTTAGCGAAAGGTTACATACGGGAATCGAAGTCGCCCATTTCGTCGCCTTTCTTCTTCATCAAAAAGAAGGAAGGGACGCTTCGACCCGTGCAG